AATTTTTTTTTTTTTTTTTTTTTTTTTTTTTTTTTTTTAACAATTCATGTTTGGTTGGTGCAGGATTTAGAGATAAATTAGTAGAAACCAAGACTGCAGAGATATCTAACTTTCTTGATATGCTGAGGAGTGCTTCTTCAGATGATAGTGGAAGATCTAATACATCACACACTGATTGGAAAGTATGCTATTTATTCACTATGTTTTGTTTTCTTTATAAAACTTTTTTTTCTTCTTATTTATGCCATCTTCATTCATTTGAATTCTGAACCTTCTTTATTTTCTATGACTAATTGACAACTCCCTTTCACATAAATCAGGAATTTACATTAGATGATTGACCTTGTTGACTTTCTTTTATGTCCAACAGTATCCTATGGTTTAAAATTCAATGGACTAATGCAATCTCTCATTGACATTTGTAGCCTGACTTCTGTCATGCTTTGGGTTGAAGATACTTGATTTGTTCAATCGATTTCTCAAGTTATTGATGATTTCACTTCTTTAAACAGTTAAAACAAGATGGTGAAGAGTTTCGAGTTATGTATCGCGAAGGGCCAGAGGGAACTCCCTTTCATACAATGCTTGTAGAAGGCTTTGTAGATGGGCCTGTTGATGTTTGTAAGTCACACAGGAGCAACCAAAATGTTAAACACCACCGTTTTACTGAGAAAAGCTATATTTTTTATTTCAACATGCAAATTTTAACGAGTTTCTTTAATCGTTACAGGTTTATGTATCTCATGGGAGACATCCCTTTACAGAAAATGGTGAGAATTATATTAGTAAAATATGTGCCTTGAATTTTCTGTATACTAGTCCCAATACGACACTAACACCGGCATCATCATTTTTTGTACTTGTTTAATTTCTCTGTATAAAGTTCAAAGTTATACCGCTTGATAAAAAGGAAAAGAAACTACTTTATTTTGGTGTGTTGAGATACTGAGAAAATTATAGTGGCAAGAAATGTGTTTGCATGCAGTTGATTTGCTACTTTTATTTATGAGGTTGTCCTAAATGGCGTTGTATACCTTAGGAATGTCTTTGAATCTAGGTAATATATCATTATAAAAATGTATGTGATAGTTGTACCTGACAATCTTTTCACAATTTCCATTTAGGTGGCCTCAGTCTACTATTCCCACTTTCAAAATCTTATCAACTGAATGTTTGCAGAAGGTCCGTATTGGGGAACAATTATCACTAGTGAGGTATGTCCTGCCAGCATCAACTAAAAAAACATTTTGATGTACCCTGCCAAAAGTTTTTGCTTTTGAATGCTGATTTTGCTCTGCATTTTGGAAGAAAGGGTGAAGGTTTCATGGCCTTTGTCTCTGAGGGAAGCTATAGTGCACTATTATCTGTTTGAGTACTTTCAAGATGACTTAATTGTTGTTCTTACAAATTCGGTAATCATCACGACCCTCTGTTTTTTTTTATCCTTCATTTTACACTAGATTGAAGCTTCAAGAAATTTGTGCTTAATTTTCTCCCAGGTTCCTGAGTCAAAGAATGTCACAGAGATCCTTGGTTTCGACAGCGAGGCAATTCCTGAAGCAAAGGATGTCGTGAGAGTGGATTTGGTGGGAGGCTTTGCTTTGCAAAAGGTGACATCAGAAAGAAGTTACTTTCGGTGAGTTTTAGGTTTGCTTAAACAAAATAATTTACTTGATTGGAGTGATGGAATGAAATGGGAAAACAGTCAACAATCACAGGCCATAATGCCCCAAATAGATTCTGCTTTTTTTTTTTTCCTTTCTTTTTTTTAGAGAGGTGAAGACAGTTGGGCAGAAATTTTCCATTTAAAACTGTGTTGAATACAGCTATTTGGTTTTATTTCTTTATTGAAGTATTGTGAAGAAGCTAATTTCGCATAGGGATTTTGCAAGTAAACTATCTTATCATTAAGACCTGTTTTTTTTCCATGGAAAATTATGATAATAATTTAATTTGTCAGTAAAAAGACGTGTGATACCATGATATATTATTTGTTTGTTGTGTGCTATATTTGCAAAATTTGTTTCATTTTGCATGTGTCTGTAATTCCCTTTTATTTTGTTTTTCATTTGGGAGAGAAAGAAACAGAGAATAGGCTGTAGAATCATAGAATTAGAATATATGAAGCCAGTTCTCCCATAGATAGTAGTGAAAGTCTGCATTTTTTCTCTTAATTAAATGCCAATTTTAGACTATAACGAGTCATGACTAGAGATTTACAATATTATTTTACCTACTTGTGGTGGGAACCAAGACCTTCAGTATAAAGGGACTACAGTTCTAATTTTTGTGTCAATACTCGATACTAATAATGTGATGTAGTCCTCTGAAACTAACTAAAATTACTGCTTTTGAATTGTTCTTAGGGTTTGCTTATTTGTCATTATAGACTAAGAGCCTGTTTGGACGTTTTTGTGAATTTCTCTACTAAAAAATGTTTTTTTTATTTTCGGTAGAGAAACTCTCAAAAGTACTTTTAACTTGTATCTAAATAGAGTTAGAATAATAATAAAGTAATGATTGTTAATTAGAAAATTCTGATTGTGATGGCTTTTGGTTTTGGGGGTTGTCAGGGATTCAAATTGTTCTTTATTTAATATTTATTTTGTTCACTTTTTTGTAGTCTTGACAATGCTGGTTTTTCTGTGAATGGTTATGTAGCTGGTTTGGTTGTCTTAACTGACCATGCTGGTTCCATTTGATAACTTGTTTTAAGTTTCCAATTTTCCATTATAGCTTACCTATACATTTATTACTGGTTTCTAAAAGAAATCTGAAAGTAAATATGATTTAACTGTGTTTATTGACTTTTGGTCATGTGGTGACAAATGAAAAATGTACCACAAAGGAAATGGATTTTTATTAGCAACCCTGATTCTAGACTTCAAATTTTGTAGGACGATAGCAAATATGGATATAAAGCTGGATTTTGTGCCTCCATCCCTCATAAATTTTATTTCAAGACAGCTCATTGGCAATGGTTTCAGACTTTACCAGAAGGTTGTAGATTCGTTAAAGATATGCTTCTTTTATTAGGCATTCACAGAAAATTTGTTTTTTATTTTCTGAATCTACCTAATGAGATAACTCATTTTTTAATAAAAAAAGTTGAAACTAAATGTAAAGGTGTATTTTTTGTTATATCCTATAATCAAATCATCCACCCTTATTTTATTTTATTATTATCATTGTGTTACTATTATTTTTGTAGTTTTGATATCAGTTATTTGTGTAAGATGGAAAGATGAATTAAAAACGAAGGGAGGATAAGACATTTTCCTTAAACAAAGCAGCATAAATGAAATTTTTTCAAACAAATTAACAAGGATTCTTTATTATCACACCAATTTAGGATAGGATTTACCCTGCCTTTGTGAACTCAGCCTACTTTTATTGAAACGGCTAGTTTGAAAGCTGGATTAAGCTGATTTGCCATTTTCTTCTCCATCATGCAAAAGTGAAACATTTTGTCTTCAATTCATTTTTAATTGGTACCGTTTTCTATCTTTGTATGACACAATCCAATCCATGATTATGTTATAGACTGTGTCTTCTATGATGAGCAATGATAAAGGAGAATTCAGCAAGGCCTTGGGGGATCCATTATATGTAAGAATTCGTGAAGCTTTATATAACACTAGTGGATCAAAGGCTATGGATGGCGAAGAGCTTCACCAAATTGCAAGTGTTCTCCCTGCTGAAGATCTTGTTGAAAGTAAGCATGGTGAGGAAAAAGATGCATCCATAGAAGATATAAGCAGTCAGTATGCAAATAATGCCATGCCAATGGCAATGAATACAAAAGTACTAGATAGTAGCAAGACATTTGGTGAGATTGTAGAAGTAGATTGTGAAGAAATTGAAATTGTGCAAAGTGAGGAAGAAGAATACCAAGAAGTAAAAGACACTCCAAAAAAGAAAGTTGATGAAACGAGAGTACTAAGGGGCAAGAGGGGTGTATATATCAGATCAGATGTAGCACAGGCTCTGGAAACATTAGACAAAGCCATTTCAATGGTTCGTGAACGGCGACTTCATTCTAGGGATGAATCTTCCAGCGTTGCCAATGAAGAGCCCCCTTGTATGAAAAATGATGGTGGAGTTGATCCATATTCCTCAAAGCTCATTCAACCAAGTTCCAAAAATGAGGTTAGTGTTGGAGTACCAAATGGAGGTATTCCAGAGGGAAGTTTACAAGAGGCACCTGAGACTAACTCTGGCATCCAAAACTCAAGGTGATTGATTATATTACTGTTTCTATGGTTGTCTAAAGGAATAAAAGACTAAGAAAAAATTATAAGCCTGTTTGGATACAAGCTTATAAGTGCTTTTGAGAGCTTTCTTATTGAAAAATACTCTTTATTTTCAGTAAAGGCTCTCAAAAGCATTTCTAATTTGTATCTAAATAAATTCTATAAGCTTGTCTGGATGTAAGTTTAGAAGAATGTCTGAGAATTTTTCTATTGAAAGTAAATAATTTTTTTTAGTAGAGAAACTATGTTAAACTTCTATCAAACATGCTCTATGTGTGTGATTTTGTTTTCCTTATGGTTTATTTGAAAATAAGAAAAGTAGTGCTAGAATGCTGGAAGTTTTTGATCATTAATATTTTTATTTGTTGTTTCCTAAGGTACATGGGAACAAATCCAAACTTAAAGGAAGTGAATTCTAACAAAGTAGTACCAACTTCATCAGAGCAGAATCTTTCAAGACATATCTTGGCAAGCCAGGTTGTTTCATATTCTTTGGAAAATGGATCAATTCTGGATCAAACCACAATCAACAACAAGAAACTAAACCCTGATTCGATCAAAGCCGTGTCTTCAGATCATGTAGACAAGTCAAGAAGGCAGAAAAAACTAACTCAAGGTATGAATTCAGATGTACCAAAGAAATTCAGCAGGCAGAAAAAAAATCTATACTGTTGTTTTCTGCATTAACTAAAACGGAAGGAAGTTAACTGGCTGAAAGCAGAGGAAGAAAACAGAGTATTTTGTCAAACATGTAACACAAGCTACAATAACTTAGTACAGGTTTTATATACCTTAATTGATCTTGTATACCAACATAATTCTCCCTTTTATTTTGTGGTAATAATCTTTTTTCCTTTGTTTTTGCCAGCCATATAATCTATGTATATTTGTTTGCTCCTCAATTTTTGTTCTTATTGCTTCTTAAAATTATATGCAATTTACACAAATTGCTGCACTGAATATGCATTGGAATCCAATTTTTTTTTTATATAACTTTTTCTTTGTAATTTCATCCTTGTAAATGCAACTAAAATGCACTTAGTTTTATTCTATGTTTAAAATGCACTAAACGCAACATATATCCCACTATCATAGTTATATGTAAGTTATTATTATTATTTTCAAAAACATTATTATTATTATTATTATTTTGTGATTATAATTTTATAAATTTTACCTTTTAATTTCTGTAATTAAAAATGTTTAATTTTAATCCTTGTATATATATATATATATTTTTTTTCTTTCTTTAGTCTCTATATTTAATGTTAAATGGATTAAAATAAAATTTATAAAACTATAGAGACAAATGAAACAAAAACGACATGTATAGAAATTAAAATAAAATGTTTTTAATTATAAATACTAAAAGATAAAATTCATTCATGAAATTATAAAAGTAAAAAAAGTAATTAGACTTATATTATTTATTAAACATCAAACAATACCACTATTTTTAAAGTTTTTAAACTTGAAAAATCAATCAAATGAGTGGGAAAAAAAAATCCTGAACTTTTTTTCCATTTGCTACTTTTATGTACACTCGTTTTAATTAAGGACAGTGGAAACGAGCTGGCAGGTTCTAGTTCAGAAAAGCTGCAACCGAAAAGCAAGACATAAAGGCAATGGTTTGTGTTTGTTATTGTATGTACTATGTACAGGAGGTGTGCATGGATATATGTTGGATATATTTGATTTAAACAATTATATCTGATTTAATTGCATTTTTATTTTTAAAATTGAATTATCAGTGATATTTTTTTTTTTAATTTAATGAGATAATTAAGATTTGTTTGGTTTGAAAGAGACAATGGAAGGAAACAAGTTAGAAAATTTGTTTGATTGAGAGGAACATGAGAATGAAAGGTAATTTTTTCTTGTTTAGTTCAAAAGGAGAAGAGAAAAATTTTAAAAATTATTGGGATTGGATTTCACTAGTTTATTATCATTGAAAATCTCTAAACCTTAATCCTTTAGTTGCTTGAAATCATGTATTCCACCCAAATCATCGATCACTCAGCTAAAGTGTCTGAAATACAAACATTAAAAACATAGATAGATATAAAATGTCCATTGCTTATCCCTAAACAAAATATTCAATGGACGTGTTTTGGCTCATACACAACTTAATAAGCATTTCCCAATGATTATTTAAGTAAAATCATTAACTCAAGATAACAATAATCAAGAGAGCATTAAGAGAAGAGTCAAACACTAAATAATGTAATAAAACATTGATTAATGAAGCAAAGTTAATACATAAGGTTCATGTAGTTACGCGTAATCCCAATATAGGAAAAATTAGCTACTCACAATCATGGGAAGCTCAAAGATTGAAGGAGAAATGACAAAGATGAATAAATGGAGCTTTGGGGTTCTTATAACCGTCAAGGGTCTTGTTAACAATGTATTCAATTCTACTCCTAGAATCCGTAAGTTTGTCTTAATATAGAACATTCTCTTTTCCTCAAATGTCTAGGTGTACACTAAGTTTTGATTAGTAACCACAATGTTTCACTGAGTGAGGAAACATCTTTGTTGCTTTTAGGGGTCTTTCGCTCAATGACCATGTCTCGTTTAATGATTGAAAGTTTTTGTGGTCTAGCCTCATCGTGCTAAAGAAGACTCATTCAGCTAGAAGACTACTTTGTGACTCAGTACTTTCCACCCTTCAATTCTCACTAAAATTTGTGTGAGTTACTCATTTGTTCTTGATTGATCCTTAAATGTTGGATTAACAAAAATTGTAAAATTAGCTAACTTATACTTAAAAGAGGTTGAAATTACAGAAATAAGGAAAAAGAAAGATAATTATTGTGATTTAGATACTTGAAGTTAAATAAATCACAAAATTATTAGGTAAAAATAAGGTTATTTGATTTTAAAAAAATAAGTAAAAAATAAAAGAGAAATAATATTAAAAATTGCTTAGTTTAAATGAATTGATAAGAAAAAAATTATAATTTTACCGTTCTATGTTACAATTTATGAATTTATTTTACTATAACCATATTATGTTGTAGTACAAATTTGCATTTTCAACTCCTAAGTTATGGTATACACAAAGTATCTTAGAAAGCAAGTGTATAATAAGACTCATCTCTTTTATTAATTATTAGAGTGGGGATTAATTTCATTGCATCAAAATGTATTAATTAATTATTTTTTTCATGGATATGATTCACATAATGTTCTAAAGATGAAAACTAAAATTTAAAGTAAAAAAAAATGATTTTCTTATTTGTTGTATTAATGTTTTCCTCGAATTTACAGGTTATGCTACTTGCAGGAACAGACACATCATCAGTAACATTAGAATGGGCCATGTCTAATTTATTAAACCATCCAGAAATATTGAAGAAGGCAAAAAATGAATTAGACACTCATATTAGACAAAATTGCTTAGTTGATGAACCTGACCTTTCGAAACTCTCCTACCTTCAGAGCATTGTTTATGAGACACTTCGTTTACATCCTGCTGCGCCAATGTTGGTACCCCATTTGTCTTCAGAATATTGCACCATAGGAGAATATAATGTCCCTCAAAACACAATTTTGTTAGTTAATGCTTGGGCTATTCACAGAGATCCCAAGTTGTGGAGTGATCCAACACATTTTAAGCCCGAGAGGTTTGAGAAGGAAAGTGAAGCAAGCAAGTTACTTTCATTTGGATTAGGGAGGAGGGCTTGTCCTGGTGCAAACTTGGCCCAACGTACAGTCAGCTTAACTCTGGCCTTGTTAATTCAATGTTTTGAGTGGAAAAGAACTAGCAAGGAAGAAATTGATATGACCGAAGGAAAAGGGGTCACTATGCCAAAAAAGTTTCCCTTAGAAGCTATGTGCCAAGTGTGTCAATCACCAACAATTAATGGTATTTTCTAATTTCTAATGCTATTAAAAACACACCATGTTCTACCAAAAGTCATTAGCACAAGTGGTTCAACATTTGTATTCTTTAATCAATGACTGATGTTCGATTTTCAATTTGAATAGAGTCGAGACTAGAGATATCACTTGAATCTTATAGGATCCAACTCGATAGTCCTTTTGGCTTGAATAAATAAAAAATTTAATATTTCCATAAATAAGTTATTTAAAAAAAATGTATTGAAATAAATTGTTTTGGCTACATGGACATTTACAAGCAAAACGTCAACAGGGGTGACAACTTTACTTTACAAGGAAAATATCAGTACAGTTGACGTTTTTAGGTGAAAGAAAAATTGTACAAAAAATGTAAGTATTGTTGACATTTTCAATAGAAAGAAAAAATTGTACTAAAAACATCAATACTATTAACATTTTCAGTTGAATCCAAAAATTGTACTGAAAACGTCACCATTACTAACGTTTTCAGTATAATTTTTTTCTTCCCCATGACGATTTTAGTGTTTTCCTCCCACACCTTAGTTCTATTAGATAACACTAATTTATGAACCCTAAAAGCGCTTAACAGATTTATGAAGCGCTAAGTGGTTTTGCTCCAAACATCGAATAGGTTTTGAGTTTTGAGTTTATTGAGTTGAAGGTTTAAGATTTAGTATTAGGTTATAATGATAATGTAATAGTATTAATAAATGTAAATATTTGTTATCATAATTTTATTTATTGCTACTAATAGTGTGATAGGCTTTAAAATTTGTTTTGTAATTAATTTGCATTAAAAATAATCATGTTGCATATTAATTTATTTATTTTTATCTTTTAATAGAAAGATAGAAAATATGTAGGTTTATTTAGTGAAATAAAAATAAATATTTGAATTTTTTAAATAATTAAATATGTTGATTATTTTGAATAGGATATTTATTCAAATAGACAATCATTATCCAACTTAAGAATTTCATTAGTAAAATATATAAAACTTATATACATGATTGAATATTATTATATGACTAAGATTTTGGATACACATTAATGATTAAGGTCATCATTGATATTTGATGCTAGTTGAGGATAGTTTATTCTATTATGACCTTCAACCCTACAATGTCCACAATGTTGTCTCCATTGAGACTGTACAATCCATTTCATTTCTTGTACGGGTTGATTTTGGACGTCCCTTAGCACGTAACATAGTTTGATTAGGGACAATGTGACATCCATTGGTAGGAAGAATGTTGTCATCATTACTAAATGGGTACCATTGCCCAGAATATTCCTCTTTAATATATGCATTTGAATAGGTAGCATCAACATAGTTCAAGGGATCTACGCGAACAGAAGCACATGCGACAATGGCATGTGAACATGGATATCTGTAAGCTTCGAAAGCACCACACTCACATTTTCGTTCATTAAGAATTACTGTACAAGTATGACCACCTCTTTGTATAATTGGATCGAAAGCTTCTTCTACTTCAAATTTAGCGACCTCATAGTCATATCTTCGAACAAAATGAGATGTTGCGTCCTCTTGATTGTTCTGCATAACATCCATTACATTTTGAAAATATCGTTTACCAACCATAATAAGTTCTGCGTTTGCTTGACCTAACCTTTGCAGAAAACACTCAATTAACCTAACATATGTACACTTTACAAGAGTTGTTATTGGCAAGTTAGGGGCACCCTTTAAGATCTTCTTGATAGCCTCAAACAAGTTTGTAGTCATGTAATCCTATCTGCAACCTTCATCATCATGGGAGAGGCTCCATTTTTCTAGTGAAATACCATCAATCCATCAACGAATTTCTAGGCTTATCTCACGAAATTGTTCAAGCCTCCTAAGAAAGTTATGTTTGCAAGTTGTGTAGCCTGTCCAAATTTTACAAGAATAAAATAAATATTAGGTAATAGGATAAGATATTATGTAGTACAAAAAATGATGAAATCACGCTAAGGCCAAGAAGACCAAGGGGTGATATATTGAAGGAGTCGAGAGGAATGGGTTCGTTTTGAAAACCATAGGAGAAGTGGGTCTACTTTTGGGTTAGTGGACCTTAGCTCCTAAACCTTATTAGTATAAGATTTGTTTTTAATTTTCCATTTTACCCTTGTATTTTGGGTACCTTAGACATAGGATTTATTTTGCTTAAATTTCCCATTTTACCCTTATATTTTGGGGTGCCTTAGAATTTAGGATTTATTTTCTTTGTATTTCTTATTTTGCCCTTGTATTTTGGGGTATTTAGAATTTAGGACTTTTTTTTCTAGAGTATTATATGTGGGTGTGATCATGAGAGGTTCTTTTGGGCTAAGTGAAGCATTTGCCCAAGTGGGAGGGCACCTAGGTTGCATATTCCTAATATACACCTAGTTGTAGCTTAACTTAACCCAAAAAGATGCCATCTTGACCTAGGCATGTGTGGCACATGGCAGGATGAATTTGGGTCTCATTTAGGATGCATTTCCTTTTCATTTTGAGGTAGAAATGATCAC